AAGAGTTCCATATAAAAACACAAACGTTCGTTCGAAGTCACACAAGTTTTAGTTTACATATATACGAAGAGTAACCCCCGGAAATAAAACCCTAGGGAGCCACCTTAACCGCGAATACATTCTGGAATAATGGCTCCTGTTCTTGGCTGTAACTAAAATCGCAAGGAACAATATAGCCACGGGTTAACGCCGACGAAAAACCAATTTTCTCCACTTCCACTGGATTACTATCACTTTCATACAATTCATCCCATATACTATCTCAATCAGGAGAAGTTGCATCCGCTATTTTGCAATCAATTTTAACGCCATCCAAAACTTTCAGAGACAAAAATGTCACATTCGTTGTCAAAATGATAATTGTCAAAACCACCAAGACGCGTGCAGTCCGTTCCATCGTCTCCAAATAAGATGGGCTCATTGTCGTTCTCTGTATTGTCTTGTGTAAAATAATTTTGCTGTTTCTTTGCATAACTTTCATAAGCTGGAAGTGAATTGCGCATCTTCTGAACATCTTCTACTTTATTGAATGCGGCGTTTAAACGGTTTTCATCAGTTGCACAACCAACATGAAAGCAGGTGAGTGCATAATGTTGTCCATTGAGGGCGCAAAACATGGTTAAAGTCCCAGTTCCCTGGACCTGAGGTACATCAACTTTCTCGTTCTCTTCAGGCACTCGTAAAGGGTTTTTATTGGTACATCTGGGGTTACTGCAAGCTAATACACCACCACCAGGTGCTGCTGAGACAGAAGATGATTTACATCTCAATTTACTTAAAAGGAGACCCAAATATTTAATTTTTGGTTTTCTTTCAGGTTCTCGAAGGAGTTCAAAGTGTTCCTTAGCGTCGTCACATTTGAATTTCTCTTCAAGTTCACGTCGTACAAACGATATCTTCACTCCTCTTTTAACTGTGAGGTACAAATGTGGACGAGGGATCTTTTTGTTTCAACCAACCAGCCCATACGCTCCACACAACCAAGGAAAACTATACAGAAGCAATGCCATATTAATAATGCAAAAACAGCCACCAAAAATTCAATTCATAGTTCTAGATCAGGGCCGTAGAAAGCTCTTTTCGATTGGGGGGGGGGCTGAAAGCGAGGGCCGAAGGCCCGAGGAAATTTTTAAATTTAGAGTCTCTAAAATGCCATTTCCTGGACTTTGGGGGAAGATTTAACAGAATTCTGATAGTCAGAAAACAGCGTTTTAGTATGTCGAAATTTACAGGAAAGTATGGGCCAGAGTGTAGTATTATAAATGCGCGGCGGGAAATTTCGTCGTAAATGGCAGTTGCGCGGAAATGAAGGCAGAACATTTGAGAAAATTTCGAAAATCTGGAGTCTCTAGATGGTCTGAAATGGCATTTTCAGAGTTTTCTTTCGCAAGACCCAACACGCAAAAGACAAAATAAATCATTAGTTCACCAAAAATGTGCAGATTTTGTGGGATTTTCTTGAAAATGCGCGACAGAAATTCAGCTAAAATTTCTACGCGAGGAACGATCTGGAGTATGAGTAATATCTTCATTCTTTGCAGTTTGTCACAGATTAAATGATAAAGTTTGCATTATTAGCAAATTATTGAGGGGGATGCAGCCCCCCCAGCCCCCCCCCCCGGTTGCTACGGCCCTGTAGATTCATAAAAAACAATACCATTGCTCCAGACATTTATTCATTTCACAAAGTAAGTATGTTAGGGACGTGCAAGGGTGCATATATTATTTTGAACCGTCTTTGCCAGTGTAGGTAGTGGGAATAATAACAAAACTTGGGTTGATAGGGATACAACTACCTGAAAAATACAAGGAGAACTTCGACGTTTTGAGTGAAGGCTCAATAATTGATTCATTGCGTAGAATTCGTGGTCATATCAGAGAATGTTACCAGTATAACAGAAAAGCGTTTAGAAGTATTATAAAAACTACCATCTGAGAATTAAATTGTATCTGAATGAATTAAAAACGTGGAATTGACCTCATTGGTTATTAAAGAGCGATTAGGGACCGCTCAGTATTTATTGTACAGGGGGGATTGAGGAGAAACTGGGGGGGGGCCTTTAAATTTTTCAAAACCTGAAAGGGGCGGCTTTGAAAAAAATACAGAGAGACGAAAGAAGGGGGGCTTTGAAAATATTTACCAGTTTGAAAAAACATTAGTAGTTTTAAAAATGTATCACAAAACAACTTAACAACAAATAACAATATTTATAGACTTTAATATTCATAAATGGAAGTCAAATAAAAAGTCTCTCATGTTCATGTAAATAGACAATTCCCATTATAGACTAATTTTAGAACTAGGCAAAGAGATGCAAATCAAGGCCGAATTTTGGTGAAAATAGTGGGGGAGGTGGACAAAAATTTTACATGGAAAGTTATGGCTTATTGTAGAACAGGCCAATATCAACAAGGTGAGGTATGCATGTAGTGTACATATGTACCAGTGTATTAAGGAATTATGAACTCCAATCTTGCCCTTCATTACAATTGCTACACTGTTTCTTTCAAAACATTGCATTAAAAGGGTGCTTGACATGGCTATCACTGTTTCAATTTTACAGAGAAAACTTTCTTACGTCACAAAGTGTAGATCCTAAGCAACCATCACATTTTCACTTTGTTCCATCATTGAAACTTTCCCAAGGGGAAGTGCATGACCTTTCAAGAGAGGTGGAAAAATTCTCAGGGGAGGTGCAAAACGATCTCTGGGGAGGTGCGCACCTCTCCACACTTCCCTCAAAATCCGGCCTTGATGCAAATAAATCACCACAGCTAGAAAGAAAGAGCATACTAAAATAAGTAAATTGTTGCAAAATACGGAAAATATAGCCTTGCAAAGTTTGCAAATGTTGTACACTTTTGTATTGCATGTGAAAATTGCAATTATACAAAAGAATATGGAAGGCTATATTTTCTACATATTTTACAACATTTTGCAACCAAACTTTGGAATTTTACTAATTTTAGTATACCCTTCCTGGGAATATACTTTTTTTGCTAAGATAAAAAATTAGTCTATAATGGGAATGTCTATTGGTCCCCATTACCTATTTTTCTTTCTCTAAAATAAACCGCTAGAGTTTTTGTGTCTCTAAATAAAGATAAAGAGCTAGAGGGGGGGGGGGCAAATTTATGTTCTTGTTTTGCCTGTTGGGGGGGGCTTTGAAAATTTTACTTGTCTTAAGAGGGGGGTAACGAAAAAATATTATAACTGTAGAGTTTCTCCTCAGTCCCCCCCTGTACAATAAATAATGAGCGGTCCCTAAGCAAAAATCATCACACTGTTTATCATGCTGATTTAGTTGTTTAACAGTTAAAGTCCAGGTTGCATGTTTTTTTGTCCTGCATGTGGCAGATGGGACAGTCTGGTTTCCAAGTGTTTATGTTGGGAATTAATATTAATCAGGACTAGCTTCTGGGTGAAGGTCTTGCCTGCTTTATGTGAGAGCAGGCTCTATGCGAGATTCCAATTGCTACACAGCATGATCTCAGTGCTCTTCCTCTGAAACAATGCTTGGTTGCAATATCATCTAGCAAGTGCAAAAATGTACTACCACGGTCAAGGATCATTTGGCATGTTCATCGACTATGTTAACCCATTGAGTGGCGCCATGCACTCTCCACCTGATGAGTAAAATTGTCTGATGTTAGACAGAGTAAACTAACAAAGTAGGGCGCATCTGGGTGCTTTGGGCCATTCCATTTAATGTACACACCACCTATGGACGATGTACACCCCCCCCTAAGAAAAAATATCAAGGTGCCGACACCAACACCCCCAGAAATTAAGAAATTTTTGCCTTATCCCTCAGAAAAAAATGCAAAGATCAAAGGTTACGGATGCACACAACCCCTAGAAATGGCTTTTTCAACCCCCTCAGAAATTCTAGTCCATGGGAGGAGGGGGTGTATATTAAATGGATGGCCCATTGCCACTTAAAGGGTTAAAAACGTAAATACCACAGCACAACACTTGTATACATATACATATACAAGTAATACAACAGCAATCCTTTTATATATTTAATAGTCATATTTACATATTGGTGAAATATCATTGTCCGTATATTAGGGATGTCCATGAACTTGTCCCTAGTTTGAAGTATAAGTTGTCCCTCTACAAACCAACTTATAGTCATTATACAAGAGTTGAATTTGCATTCATTTGCTTCGCAAGTCGCAACAAACTGAACAAAGTACTAAACCATAAACCTGTGCAATGACCGAGCGTCTTTAGTCTTTAGCGACATATCCAAGTCTTTTAAACGTCTCATTGGAACAAATCTCACTGAGTTTTTTCTACAGAAAGTATTGATCCATTTGATCGATCGCCGTACTTTGAGAAAAGCTTGAAATGCAAAATTCACAGGAAAGATTGAAGAATTTTGGAGATAAAAACTGTTTGTCTTCGAGTTTCACCTGTTCACCCCCCGGTTGAGAAAAGTAACAATTACGTAATGTTGGAGTCACGTGACCAGCGTTTACCAGGGCTACGTCGCCGCCTTCAATTCGCGACTAGCCCTGGGTACGAGGTTGTGATTGACCAAGTTGTGGTATCTACATAAACATACTATGCAAGTATATATATAACTGAAAGTTGAGTCTATCTACAGCATAATGTAATGTTGTATATCCAAAAAACCTGTTTTATAAAATGCAAGATATTGCAGTCAAAGGTGTAGTAAATATAAAAATTTTCTGGGGGAAAATACATCCAGAAACCCCTCCCCTACTATTACATGCGATACCACACTAAACCTTTTGTTACCAACAAACCATCTATCATTTCTCCACACTCGGTATAGTATGGTCCTTTTTGTAGATGCCGCCCCCCCGCCCACTGACGAATTCTTAAAAAATGCCTTGATCACATCTAAAGATCGTCGGCTTCGTCTCGCATCTTTATATCTGATAAAACACTGCAGCTCATGCTTTAAATAGGTACACAAAACACGCCAATAAATATAGTATTTTTTTATACCTGCTGTCATGAGAATAATATTTCAGAAATAAGATTTTAGAAATCCAAAAACTGCAGCACTATGACGTTCTACCGGATCTCTGGATTGCCCAAACGTGAAGCCCGCGTTAATGCTAAAACATAGTGGCAATGCGATAAATATTACAACAGCTGCTTATTTTAGAAATTTATTCAGTATTTTTTTAGAAAATGTAGGCAGATATTGATTTGCATAGCATGACCAGTTTGCCAAAGCTAGCTCGCCACCGTTATATTAAATTTCTGCAAATTTTAATTATATTTCAACTTTTATTTTCAAACTTTCACAGTTTAAAAAAAAAAGTGAGACCGCGAGTTACTTGCGTCTAAGCATTAGCTGCTCACGTCAAAACTGTATATTTATCTCAAGTTTTATTTGCGTAACGCTGACCTTAGTTTAAAGCTACAACGAATTTCATTTTCAAACTATATCTTTATAACAGGTATATTGCTGTCACACTTTGTCTGTTTAGTTGGCTTCAAAGTTCGTTTTATGTTTACTCTTCCTCCATTTTCCACCCAAAGTTTGATTTTAATAAAACTTTTTATTTCTTATTTACATTGTCCTGAGATAAAATTACGATAAAAAGTGAAAACCGAAGGTGTCCATAGTCTCGTTTTAAAGAATATTAAATAAACAACAATTGTCCGACCTTTGGGAAAGAGACGTATGAGTTTATGTGAACCATACTCTCTGAGAGATCGTAGAACAAGAAACTCATACATACTTTTCAGTAGGTATCATTCTTAAGTAGGTGTTTAAATTCCCCCAACATCCGGAATTTCATTTGGGTTGGCATTCTGCCAAGGTTTGGTGAAGCTTTGTTGCAGGCGTTCCGCTAGATCTGCTGCGACATCTGCTGGAGATTGAGAGTTACAGTCTTTGGCAGCAGCAAGTTCATATACAGTTTTGTACCACTTTGCCAGATTCGTTTCGCGAGTACCTTCTGCTTTTAGTTGGTAGTAATTCTCTTTCGCATTTGATACAAGTGAGATAACTTTGTCACATAATAGCTTGTACCTTGGTATGTCCACAGATCTAAATGGCTTTTGCTTAGATTTTATTTCATGCTTTATATGCGGTGTCATCCATGGATTGTCGGAGTGGTGGGTAAATATAGAGCGTTTATAGGCAGCTATTTATCAATCAAGCGCACAATAGTACAAGTGATCGTGAACGCATTTACTTTGTCGTCAACCTCTCTGGCATCATAGACTGTTCCCCAGTTCTCTCAATTCATATGCATGCCAAGTTCAATTGCATGGTTACTACTGACATTTCGTCAGGCGCACTTTTCCGGAAACCGGTTTAACCTTTTGTTTCAACTTTGGGGTGAGTAGTAAGCATTGGTGGTCAGAACGTCCAATCGGTAGCAGATGTAGAACATCATTGTATACCTCTGGCATATTGATAAGGATTTGATCTAAAATTTTTCTACCTCTTGTAGGAGCCCGTGCGGTTTTTTTAAGGTTGAAAAGTGTAAATAGTAGGTTCAGTCTCATTTTATTGAAGTCTTCGACGATGATTACACCAGCTGAAGTGTGGTCCTGTAGTGTTTTGTCAAGTCCGTTAGTAACATAGCCTACTCATACATTGATATTTTATCTTCAGTTGTCTGTCCAGATAGGTAGTACACGCCAATAACAATTATTGCAATATAGGGCCTGGTAGTCCTGCGTGGTTTAAGTAGGAACCATATAACTTCCTTTCCATGCTTTCAAGATTTGTTAGGCGGGTAGTTGGTATTTTGTTATTCACGTAAGCAAGGACACCACACCAGGCGTGGGGCGATCACGGCGATGTGCATTGAATTTATGACTTATTTCTACAGCAGCATCCGGGATGTTTGAATTCAGCCAGGACTCTGCAATTTTGATCAAAGAGGGGTTGTTGACTACAGCAATTCCTAAAAGTTCAAATGCGTCTATTAAGAGTATAGATGGAACTGAATAGGCAATTGATGATTCACTTACATTGTTTTTTCCTTATGGTAATACGTACTAAGTTACGACTGAGTTTTTGGACCTTGGTGTTAGTAGACCTCTGTACTAGTTAACGGTTGGTTATTCTAACCGGGATTGTTTCAAACTCATTATTTAAACGATTAGAAATTGGACCAAAAGATGTATATGCCAAGATTGAACTGGGATTTCCCTCATTGTTGATCTGGAATAAGGGGGGCATGCTTAGCGAGTTGGAAACGGCGGCTGAACTGGGAATTTCGATCTGAGACAGTGGGTAAGGTAAGGGGGTTAGTTGTTGTAGTGGCACTGTCAAAGCCTGGGTGATCTTGTGGAGATCTCAATCAGGGACCGCATATATGGATAAATAATGGAGGGTCACAAATTGCAGGGTGTTTCATCGCTGGTGGAAGGATTGGACAAGGATAGCGAGTTTGTTGGTAAAAATGGGATGACAAGTCTTGTTTTTGACAAAATCGAAGGTTTTTTTCTGTGTTGGTGTTGTGTACTCAGGTGAATAATATGTTTGCGATGTTACTCTGAGTGCATATCCACACCGGGCGAGCTTGAAAAATATGCCCGGCCATGGTGGGATTCGAACCTACGACCTTTGGAATACTAGC